AAGGGCGGCGCCTTGCTAGCCCTCAGCGTAGGCAGCGGAGCAACTGGTGCATTCAACGCCGCAGCATCCTGCTTCTGGCAGGCCAAACAGGATCGTTTTATCCTTTTGGCCGTCCTTCGCGCTCCTATGACCCAGTACTCGCACCGTAGTGACGTCAAAATCGTGTCAATGCCAGCGTGTTTCAGATGTGTGTGTTGGAACCGTACAAGGAGGTCCGCCAAATGGCCCTTGGGTATCAAAATAGGGCACTTATCACCTAACGACAAGTCTGCGTTGGCCAGTCTACTGCGAACCCGCAGCAAACCGGACTCGTCTACGAATGGACAAAGCGAAGAAAGCTGCGAGCTGTGCGACAGCATCTTGCCTTTACTCAGAGCATTGTACTCCTCAGGGAACGCCCGCGACTGGACCTCTCGAATCAAACGTGTTTGAGCTTCACGCAGCTCGTCATCGCTCAACACACCACCAGGAGTGGCGCTCCTGCCCTTGGCAGTAGCTCGCGACCTCAGCAACCTAATGAATTTCAGAACGAGGCCCATCACACGCACTACTTTGGTCAGCGAAGAAAACCGCTGAATGTCGACAATCGGTTCGGGAGCCACGTCAGTTACAACAGCTACCAAAGTGCGCTCTACTTCTCCTACATCCCTCTCAGCAGCTGCGCCATCGGCAGCCACACCCTCAGCAGCTGCGCCATCGGCAGCCACACTCTGAGCAGCCGTGCTCTCGGCAGCCACACCCTCAGCAGCTGCGCCATCGTCAGCCACACTCTCAGCAGCCGCGCTCTCGGCAGCCACACTCTCAGCAGCCGCGCTCTCCGCAGCCGAGCCATCGGCCGCCGCGTCATCGGAAGCCGACTCACAAGAGTTCTCAGGCAGCACCCCACCCACGTCTAGCTCGCAAAACTGACGAAGTCGGGACTCACGCACATCAGTCCTGACGAGCAACTGGTGGCTCACGGTAGCATCGAGCTGCGATGTACCACCCGAGGGACCGGACAGAACCCAGCCAAACACCGTCTGCTGGGCGACCGGGCCACCATCAGAGCGGAGACAACCTGTGCCCATCAGCCGCCAGTAGAAGTCAAGCCCAATCAAAATGTCTATCGTGCGCTGAACTCCCACCTGCGAGTCAGCCAACTCCAAATTTCCCAGGGAGGCCAGCACTTCCACAGGGATGCATGGTTGAACCAAGGGGGCACAAATTACCGGCACCTCTGCGGCGTCCACCACTACCTGCTCGGCAGCATTGGTACCATGCATTGCAAGCCTGAACACATGCCTTTGTCCATCCTTGCTCTCTTTACCACCAAAGGCAGCATAGGTGAGCTCCTCTGTCCTGAGATACTCAGGCTTGCATCGTTTCACAAGTGAAGAGGACACATAAGAGCGGTTTGACCCAGAGTCAAACAGAAGTGTTGCCTTCACGTCACCATGCTTACCCCTGACAGTGACTGAGGCAGTGGGTAGCACAGCACTCAAGCTACCAGAAGTACAAGACAAATTCACATCAGTGGGTTTAGCACCCCTGGGAGCGGACTCTGCACTCTGGAAACACTTCACTACATGGTGTTTCCCCCCGCAGCTGTCACAGACAGCAGCGCACACTGCGGCCCTGTGGCCAGACTGCAGACATCTGAAGCACAGACCCTTGTTCCTGATCTCCAGATGCCTTTCATGAACAGGAAGCTTCAACAGCTCCGGACAACTAGCTGTTTTGTGACCCTTGTCACACATGCCACACCTAATCCCAGACTGTGCAGAGGCAGCAAGAGCTGCTGCAGTTGGAGGCAGCCCTTCCCGCTGCCGACCTCTCAGGCGAGTGACCACTCCAGCCGAGGAATGAGAAACCTTGTGACCAGCACGAGCTGGTGAACCACCTGTCTGGGCCAAGACACTATCTCCAGTGGACCTCACACTAGTGCAGTGACCAGACCTTTCCTGTCTACGTATCTCACTGCTCAAAAATTGCAGAAGGTGAGACAGATCACCCTCATGCTGCTCAGAAGTCCGAGCCCACTCCATTCTCACCTCCGCAGGCAGCTTGGATAGAACAAGAGGGGTAAGTATTACTCCATACTTGTCCCCAGTGACACCAAGCGCTTCCAAACTGCGGATGTGGGACAACAAAGAGTCCTGCAGAGCTACCAAGTTGAGCTCAGTCAGGTTCAAAAGACTTTGTATGTGCAAAAAAATAAGCTTCTCGGGACGTCCATATCTCTGAGTGAGGATGTCAACAGCAGCACCATAGTTTGCTGCTGTCAGGGCCAGGCCTTCCACAGACTTTGCAGCCTCACCCTTCAAAAGGCTCCTCAGGTAAGCCAACTTCTGGACATCAGGCAAATCAGACTTATGTACACAAGCCTCAAACGACTCCCAAAAAAGTAACCATCTCTCAACATTCCCATCGAAGGTAGGTAGGCTTAGCTTCGGTAACTTCACCTCAGCTCCTGTACCAGTGTGACTGCTAGCACCAACACTACTAGCATCAGCTCCAGCCTGAGTTGCTGCAACCAGGCGAGCACGTTGCTTACAAACTAAGTCCCTATAAGTACCACTTTTCTCTATATCATCAAGAAGCTTATCCTCATCAATACTAGCCTCTACTGCCGCTTGGGCATCATCAAAGGTGGCCAAACGCTTATCAAACTCGGTGAGAGCAAGAGCAGCCTCAATCTGCCACTCAGCTGTCCTGTCAGCTACTCGAACAGAACACAATGTCTCAATCTTATCACTAACTCTACTAAGCCACCCTTTGGCAGCTTTGCGAGATCTCTCTTCAGCCATGCTACCAAAGTGTGAGATGTACTTATAACTAACAGTGAACTGATAACCAACTACACAAATATCCAAAGGTCCCTAATGATTCGGCACCACAAAAGACCAAAAGTCCAGTTTCCCGGGTTTCGGCACCAATGTTACCAACCAACCAAGCAAAAGATGGAAAATTGAATAACTTAGAAACAACCCTAAATAAACCAGAAGACCAAAGACCTAGAATACTTATGAAGAAAGTGTGTAACAATGGAAAGAAATCAAGATGAAATCTACAGAAGACCAAAGACCAATACCTAACCTAACTAATGAACAGAGTCATCTTCTCGAGCAAACAACTAGTCCAATTCCAACAACAAGACAAGAGCGGACGAATCCTCCAGCGGGTCAAAGGGGGAGGGGGGCGGGGTATCAAGCCAAAACCGTGTCAATCCGAACTCCGAACCCTAAGAGCATCAACGACCAAGTGACGTGAAACTGGGCGGGTACCTCCGAAATCACTTACTCACCACGTGTAAACAAAAGAGACGTTTTAACGCACAAATCGCCGCACCACGCCGCTACCAAATAAATGGCAGCACAAACAGCGTAGTGAAAACTGGGCACGAAAGAGAAATACCCCTGTCCGCTAGGCGGCAGCACGTGTCAGACGACAATCAACCGCCGCCACACGAGCACAGCAGAGGGCAGCACGGCCAACTCGCCGGCCGCCCCAATGCCAAGTCTCAATCGCCAACACGACCTTTTGACGTGGCGTCAGCCAACATCAACGCCGTGGAACCGTCACAACAAATAACTGGAAGGAGGCGACGCAGTATAAATATATAAAATATCGGGAACAAGGGGCAGCCAAATCGACCATCCATCCCCGCCTGTCACTACGGCAAGTCAGCCGAGCCCAGCCTCGCAATGGGTTCGGTGAATCCTGTTACACACCGCAGACCGCTCAGAGAACAGGCGGCCGCCGACAGAGCCCAGTGACCCGGCAAAGCCGCTGTGACCGTCCCAATGCGCACTGTCACTGCTGGTTGGTGTGTATAGGAGGGTCGTCCGCTCGCCGGTCGGTGATCTCAGGTAAATACACTGGGTAAAACGCTGGTCGGTGCCGTCAGCTCTCAGTTCACAGCTTCCACTTCAAACCACAAACGGATGTTATAATGGACGTCCAAAACAACTGAAATCAACAAAAAGAGCCCAATACCAAACTTGAAGCGACAGTTTAAAACAAGAAACCAATATCATACCGCCCCGTCACTAAGTAATGTTCAGTGACGCACGCTGTCCAATTGATGACCGGCTAGCCTATGGAGGCAAATCGGCCGACAGGGCGCACTCTGTACGTCACCCTGTTCAGTGCATCTGTCAGTACCGGCGCAACGAGTCAGCGCTCAGCAGCGCTCAATACGACCGGGGACCGCGACACACGGATGACCGAGAGAGCCGCGCCTGTCAAAGGGGCACACGGCTGCCGTTCTGAATCAGTGTTCCGCATACTTCGCGAACTTGCAATGGTCGGCCAAACAGACAATAGACGGTCCAACTGACAATGGACGGCCCAACAGACAATAGACGGTCCAACTGACAATACACGGCCGAACACTGCACCTGTTTCGCTGAGCTCCGGCCCGGGAAGGTATCGTCCCCGATTACCGCAGCAGAGCTGTGCCGAGCTCCGGCTGGGTAAGATACCTGACGTTTCAGACTATCATAGCATACGTACCGTGTCGGGGTCCGTGCCGACTGAGCTGATATAGGCGACGAGGAATGCATTCCGTCTAATCGCGTGGTCGCCAGACACCATAAGATGCGTCCCCGGGTGTCTATTGTGAGCTACATTAGACTGTAGCAGACAACGCATGGATTATTTGTTTTCAGGATCTGTGGTCTGGAGATAGATAGCAATAAGGACAAATTTAGAGCTCGCACAGTAAGACCGAGCACGGAACGCTATGAGCTTAGTTCTTTTTCAGCAAACAGGCTTAGGGGCGGATGAAAAACTACGCACCATCGGGCTCCTCGGGTTTTGTTGTTTGTTTGTTTGTTTGTTTGTTTGTTTGTTTGTTTGTTTGTTTGTTTATTGGAGCAAACAACAAAACCCGAGGAGCCCGATGGTGCGTAGTACTTTTTGTTCCAGTAGTGACAGCAGGCAGGGCAGGTTGCCGTGGGTCCTCCTAACCTTTTGTTCCAGCAGCGGCAGCAGGCAGGGCAGGTTGTCCCACACCTTACCTTTTGTTCCAGCAGTGAGAGCAGACAGGGCAGGTTGCCGCGCGCCGCCGCCAGGTGCAGCGCCGTCCGTCCGCGTCCCTCCAGCAGGTTGACGTTATCCATCACGGCCATTAGGTTCATCAGGTTGGCCTGGTGACCGTGGAACGCCTGCGGACACGCCGGGGGACGTCGGTGAGGGCAGGGGCGTATAGTGACGGAAAGAAACAGTTAAACATCGCTGACACTTGATAAGACAGAACCCCGCGGACGTAGAATTTGACTGACTGCCAGTTTTAGTGGGATGGCTCTCCAGTAAGGTGTGTTTGTGGTATGTGTCTGTGAATGCCAGGGGAGGGGAGGAGATAGCCCGTAGTTAGTTAGTATGGTACTCACTAGGTACTCACAGCCAGATGCAGGGATCTGGGCGCCGCCGAGTCACAGCCCTACCCCCAGACGGCGGTCCGCTGGGGTGTGTGTCTGTGTGTGTAGGGGGAGGTGCGGTACTCACAGCCAGGTGGAGGGGGCTGGGCGCCGCCGGCGGGTGTGTGACTCTGTGTCTATGTCTGTGTGTCAGTGTGTGTGTGGAGTAGTATGGTACTCACAGCCAGGTGGAGGGGACTGGGCGCCGCCGGCGGGCAGCGCTCCTCGCCGGCCGGCGGTCCCAGCACGGAGCACACACCGCGCGAGTCGAGCAGAAGGTCCAGCGCGGCGCGGTGGCCGGCGGCGGCCGCCAGATGGAGAGGTGAGCGGCCCTCCGAGTCCGGCTGGAGCGGGTCGGTGCCGCGCTGCAGCAGCAGCTGTACCGTCCTGTGACAGGTAACACAGTCACAAACACAGTCACAGCTGATACAGAGTAGCAGCTGCACCGTCCTGTGACAGTCACACGGTCACAGACACAGAGTCACAGGGCCAGCTGCTGGAGTTACAGTTCTCTGCTCACCTAAATAACCTCACTGACAGTGTGAGAGTCGCGGTCAAATTTAGTACAGAGAGCTACGACACATCAAAGATCACCCTTTCGTTTGAAAACACAGCACTAGGCGCGGCATTACCATTCACAATGCGCGCTCAGTGTTGAATGGCCCCGATCCGTACGGTACTCACCCAATGAACCAGACACGCGGGTGGGCCGCTGAACGTCATCAGAGCATATCATCACATCCTCCACGTCCCAGCCTGACCCGGACGGCGCATCCATAACCCTGACCCTGGTTGTGGATGGTGACCTGACCCTGACCCTGGTCACCAGACTCATGTCCCAGGAGGCAGAACCTGACCCTGGGGAAGATCCTGACCTTAAACAGAGGACCCCATGCCCAACACTGACCCTGGGAGTCTGATCCTCGGTCCAGACCTTGGGAGGCGGACCTGAGCCCAGACGCCGGGAGGCGGACCTGAATCCAGACCACAGGAAGCGGACCCCGCCCCTCGCCTGTGAGACAGACCCAGCCCCAGACCCCGACCCGGCGGATACGGACCTTCCGTCGGCGTCGGCGGCCGCGGCGCAGTAGAGCGGCGTGCGGCCGTGGCTGTCTGTGCACGAGACGTCGGCACCGGCCACCACCAGCGTCACAGCCACCTGAGGTAGGTAAAGGCGGTCAGGTAATGTCACCACCAGAATGGCATAGACATTCGATACGCAGCGACAGGTACTGCATTCAGACAGGCATAAGAACCGGCCAATTTAGCTGTCGACCGACTGACGGACGTTTTAAGTCGGACTGTGACTGTCGTGCTGTGACTGACTGTCCGACTGTGACTGACTGTCGTACTGTGACTGACTGTCGTACTGTGACTGACTGACTGACTGTCGGACTGTGACTGAGCGTAGGACTGTGACTGACTGTCGGACTGACACTGACTGACTGACTGACTGACTGACTGACTGACACTGACTGTCGGACTGTGACTGACTGACTGACTGACTGACTGACTGTCGGACTGACACTGACTGACTGACTGACTGACTGACTGACTGACTGACTGACTGACTGACACTGACTGTCGGACTGTGACTGACTGACTGACTGGCTGACTGACTGTCGGACTGTGACTGACTGACTGACTGACTGACTGACTGACTGACTGACTGACTGACTGACTGACTGACTGACTGACTGACTGACTGACTGTGACTGAGCGTAGGACTGTGACTGACTATCGTACTGTGACTGACCTCATAGTTGGCGCGCGCGGCCGCGTAGTGCAGCGGCAGACGACCCTGTTTATCGGCGGCACTGAGGTCGGCTCCCCGCGCCAGCAGAAGGCTCGTGCTGTCCTGGTTCCTGGCAGACGGAAACATACACACTCAGACAACACAAACATTTGTACAAACACACCACAAACTGAGGCAGAGAAATGCGGATGTGTGAAAGATACATAACACAAAAACTAGAGGGCGGCGCACACAACGAGCTGAACAATGAGCTATACACAGAGGATAAACAACATGCACTGTGAACGGTCGCTATGCTCCGTCGGAGAATCCGTCGTCGGAGAATCCGACAGAGCATAGCGGAGTCTCCTCATTAGCTTGATTTGGGGCTCGAATAGAGGGAGCGGAGGATGGCCAGCACGAGGAGGGAGGGAGGGGCAGAGGGGTGGGAGGAGACCCGAGTCGTGGCGCGGTTGACGACCCGGGTCCAGGGGGAGGGACCGGGCTTCGGCCGAGGCGAGATAAGACACGCACAGTACACAGGCCGCAAAACAGGTCGGGCAGTCCAAGGCGCGCGCTCAGAGGCGGCGGACAGTGCGGAAGGGTGGAAACGAAGCGACAGGCTGTGGAAAACGATCGTGCGGTCGCAGAGGTGACGGACAAAGCGAGAGAGTGGGAATCGAGCGTCGAGCTATGCGCTGTAAAACGAGCGAGCAGGAAAAGTAGACAAGGCCGGGAGACAGGTTTGTGGAGCGACAGAGTACCTGGTGCTCAGCAGAGGGGGACCAAGGGAGACGGACATGGCCGGTAAGTCAGGCTAGCGTGCTAGCGATACTAGTCATATAAGGAGCCTGCTGCCTGCATGGCTGACTCGCCGAAAAGTCAAGCGAATGGATTATGCTGATGCTGTGAACGAATCAATACCAGTGGGATAGACCGTTGTGCAGAGACGCACATGGCAGATGTGTGTGTCCAGAGTCGTTGATAGTGAATAACTGATACAATACCACCCGCTCTATCTGGGTATGAATGTATATACCGGCCCGTCGTCCATGTCAAAGTAACACAGAGCGGAGAACCAACATGTCTGAACCAAGTTGACCCAGTTAAATTCGCTGTTCGTCAGGTACGACAGAACCGTCCGTACCGACGCTGCTTATACACATGGCTGAATCGTGTGGGCTCATTAATGCGCCTGGTATGCCTGACCCATACCGGTGCAGAGCAGCAACAATCAACATGCATGAACCATGTAGACCCAGTTAAATTCACTGTTCATCAGGTACACGGGCTCATTTGGCGACCGGTTTGCCTGAACCATATCGCAGTAAAACTCGCTGTAAGTCAGATATGCCTGAACCATATCGACGCAGCGCCAAGCCACACATGCCTGAACTATGTGGGCTCATTGATGCGCCGGGGACGCTTGCACCGTATCGGTGCGGCAATGCAACATGCCTGATTCATGTTGACAGAGTGAAACTCGCTGTTCGTCAGATATGCCTGAACCATATCGACGCAGCTTCAAGCCACACATGCCTGAACCATGTGGGCTCATTTATGCGCCGGGTACGACTGCACCGTATCGGTGCGGCAATTCAACATGCATGAATCATGTTGACACCGTAAAACTCGCTGTTCGTCAGATATGCCTGAACCATATCGACGCAGCGCCAAGCCACACATGACTGAACCATGTGAGCTCATTTATGCGCCGGGTACGCCTGCACCGTATCGGTGCGGCAATGCAACATGCCTGATTCATGTTGAGGCACTGTAAAACTCGCTGTTCGTCAGATATGCCTGAACCATATCGATGCAGCGCCAAGTCACACATGCCTGAACCATGTGGGCTCATTTATGCGTCGGGTACGACTGCACCGTATCGGTGCGGCAATGCAACATGCATGAATCATGTTGACACAGTAAAACTCGCTGTTCGTCAGATATGCCTGAACCATATCGACGCAGCGCCAAGCCACACATGCCTGAACCATGTGGGCTCATTTATGCGCTGGGTACGCCTGCACCGTATCGGTGCGGCAATTCAACATGCATGAATCATGTTGACACTGTAAAACTCGCTGTTCGTCAGATATGCCTGAACCATATCGATGCAGCGCCAAGCCACACATGCCTGAACCATGTGGGCTCATTATGCGCCGGGTACGCCTGCACCGTATCGGTGCGGCAATACAACATGCATGAATCATGTTGACACATTAAAACTCGCTGTTCGTCAGATATGCCTGAACCATATCGACGCAGCGCCAAGCCACACATGCCTGAACCATGTGGGCTCATTCATGCGCCGGGTACGACTGCACCGTATCGGTGCGGCAATGCAACATGCATGAATCATGTTGACACAGTAAAACTCGCTGTTCGTCAGATATGCCTGAACCATATTGACGCAGCACCAAGCCACACATGCGTGAACCATGTGGGCTCATTTATGCGCCGGGTACGCCTGCACCGTATCGGTGCGGCAATTCAACATGCATGAATCATGTTGACACTGTAAAACTCGCTGTTCGTCAGATATGCCTGAACCATATCGATGCAGCGCCAAGCCACACATGCCTGAACCATGTGGGCTCATTTATGCGCCGGGTGCGCCTGCACCGTATCGGTGCGGCAATGCAACATGCATGAATCACGTTGACACAGTAAAACTCGCTGTTCGTCAGATATGCCTGAACCATATCGACGCAGCGCCAAGCCACACATGCCTGAACCATGTGGGCTCATCTATTCGCCGGGTACGCCTGCACCGTATCGGTGCGGCAATTCAACATGCATGAATCATGTTGACACAGTAAAACTCGCTGTTCGTCAGGTATGCCTGAACCATATCGACGCAGCGCCAAGCCACACATGCCTGAACCATGTGGGCTCATTTATGCGCCGGGTACGCCTGCACCGTATCGGTGCGGCAATGCAACATGCCTGATTCATGTTGACAGAGTAAAAGTCGCTGTTCGTCAGATATGCCTGAACCATATCGACGCAGCGCCAAGTCACACATGCCTGAAGCATGTGGGCTCATCTATGCGCCCGGTACGCCTGAACCGTACCGATGCGGCGATTCAACATGCATGAATCATGTTGACACGGTAAAACTCGCTGTTCGTCAGATATGCCTGAACCATATCGACGCAGCGCCAAGCCACACATGCCTGAACCATGTGGGCTCATTTATGCGCCGGGTGCGCCTGAACCGTACCGATGCGGCGATTCAACATGCACGAATCATGTTGTCAGTTAAATTCGCTGTTCGTCAGGTATGCCTAAACCATATCGACGCGGCGCCCCGCCTGACTAAGATGGAGCCAATGACGCTATTCGTTGGGTGCCGGGTGACGTCACCAGAACAAATGCACACATCGAAGCATTGTCGCCGTGATGGCCGCCGGGGAGTGCCAGTTGTGTTTCCGCGGACGGGGCTCCCCCCACCCATTCCGCTGCGCGCGCCCACCAGTCGGGCGGCCAACACTCGGCCGTCAGCAGTAATAGAGCCGTTACGTCACGTTGTGACACCGCCGCCGGGCGTCGCGGCGTGTAAAACCACCGCCAGTTCACGAGGGGGAGGGGAAGGCGCGGGAGGGACGCAGTGGTCACCTCTGTGGGGTCAAGTGGTTGACCTTTTGTCCGATAACACTGGGGAGGGACCCACGACTCCAGCAGTCGGTCGGGATCTATTTGCACAGGATAACCCCTCACGCAGTCAGGCAGGACAATGGACGCAGCGCCCATTTAAGCGCCCGGAATGCCTGAACCATATCGGCGTGAGGAAGCGATTGATCATGCATGAACCATGTTGACCCAGTTCAATCACTGTTCGTCGGATACGACTGAGCCGTACCGACACGGCTTACAAGCCACACGCGCCCGAATCACTTGAGCTCATTCGTGCGCCCAGTCTGCCTGACCCATATCGGCGTGAGAAATTGATCTATCAAACATGCATGACCCAGTTTGACCCAGTTAAATTTGCTGCTCGTCAGGTATGCCTGAACCGTACCCCGGTATGCCTGAGCCTTATCGGCGTGAAGAATCGATTGGCCAAATATGCATGAATCATGTTCACCCAGTTAGAATTCGCTATTCGTCAGGTATGCCTGAACCGTACCGACGCGGCTACAAGACACACGCGCTTGAATTACGTGGGCTCATTCATACAACCGGTATGCCTGAAACATATCGGCGTGAGGTCACATCGACGCGGCTCCCAGCCACACATGCCGGAATCATGTGGGCTCATCTATGTACCCGGTATTCTGACACGTATCGGCGCGGCAATGCAACATGCATGAATCATTTTGACACAGCTAAATTCGTTGTTCGTCAAGTATGCCTGAACTATATCTAAGCGGCTCCCAGCCACACACGCCCGAATCATGTGGGCTTCCCTACACCGGTTCTCTGATCCGTATCGATACGGAAATTCAGCATGCATGATCATGTTGACACAGCTAAATTCGTTGTTCGTCAGGCATGCCTGAACCATATCTACGTGGTTCCCAGCCACACACGCTTGAATCATGTGGGCTCACATACGCCGGTTCTTTGACCCGTATCGATGAGGCGATTCAACATGCATGAATCATGTTGACAGTTAAATCCGTCGTGCGTCAGGTACGTCTAAACCATATCGACGCAGTTCCCAACCAAACATGCCTGAATCATGCGGGCCCATTTATGCGCCCGGTATTCTAACACGCATCGGTGCGGCGATTCAACATGCATGAATCATGTTGACACAGTAAAATCCGTAATGCGTCAGGTATGCATGAACCATATGCCTGAATCATGTGGGCTTATTTAGGCGCTCGGTACGCCTGACCAGTAGCGGTGCGGCAATTCAACATGCATGAATCATGTTGACAGTTAAATGCGTTGTTCGTCGTGATGCCTCAATCATATCTACGCGGCCCTCAGCCAAAAATGCCTGAATCATGTGGGCGGCTGGATTACGCGCCCGGTTCTCCGACCCGTATCGGTGAGGCGATTCAACATGCATGAACCATGTTGACAGTTAAATTAGCTGTTCGTAAAGTATGCATGAACCATATCGACACGGCTCCAAGCCACACATGCCTGAACCATCTGGGCTCATCTACGCGTCCG